GGGTGCACAACTTGGAGGTCCTCCTGGGTCCTTTGCTGTCGCTTGAGGCTGAGGCAGCCTTGATGGCACGGAGTGTCTTCTGTCAGCTTTGACTGATGGCCCAGCTGTACCCTTATCCGGACAGGGACAGCCTAACTTCAGTTGTCTATACTGTGGTAACTTCTAGGTTAGATAACTGCAATGCCTTTTAAGTAGGGCTGCCTCTGAAGATGGTTCAGAAACCAGCTGGTGCAGAATTCAGTGGCCAGGTTGCTCACTGGGCAGGACGGTTTCAGCATCTAATGCCAATCCTGGCCCAAATGCACTGGCTGCCAGTTAGTTTCCTGGTCCAGTTCAAAGTGCTGGTTTTGCTCTATAAATCCCTAAGCAGCTCAGGACCATAACCCCTCAAGGCCTGCCTCTCCCCATATGCACCGACCTGGACCCTGCAACCATCCTCTGAGGCCCTTCATTGTGTGCCTTCCCTTCAAGAGGTCTGGAGGGTGGCAACACGAGAACAGGCCACTCCTGCGGTGGCTCCTCATTTGTGGAAATCTCCCTGAGGAGGCTCATCTGGCGCCTTCATTACATATATTTAGCCGCCAGGTGAAAACATTTCTCTTTGACCAGGTGTTCGGCTGATTAACATTCTATGGTTCTTAAAAATGTGTTTGTGGGAGAGAGGAGTTATGGTTTGTTTGTTTTATGATGTATTTTGTGTTGTAAACCTGTGATCTTCAGATGAAGGGTGGTATACAAAAGATACTATTACTATTAATGCTACTGCTACCAATGTAATACATGCCCTGGGAACTTGTGGTGAAGGACAGGTAATTAACAATAATAATTTGCCAGTCATGTGGCTATTAATAGCACAGGAACCCTATCAAAAAAGAGAGGGGAAATCCTAGCTGGAAGCCACTAACTATGCTGCCTGCCCAAATTATTTATTTATTAGTTTTATATACCTTACCTTTGCCTAAGGTATATTACCGTGGACACGGATTCCCCACTGGAATGGACTGACTGGGGCATCTGGCCAGGGGGGTGGGCTCCTCTCCTCCCACTCCACCTTGGCATCCTTGCTCAAGAGGGGTTTATTTTGTTCCTCCCAGCAGTAGATTTGGACATGCTTCATTCTGGATTGTTTGGGGCAGAGTACTGGCTGGCTTCTGGGTCTTGTACCAAGCAGGTGGGGGCAGGTGGGGGTGGGGCTCCTGCACGTTTAATGGGCAGCTACACCAGCTGAAATTCCCAACTACAATTTAGGTAGTTGTAAGTTGCCAACTTTTAAACGCTTGCTGAAAACTTTTCTATTCCTCCAGGCTTAAGTAGGCAGATGAGAGGTACAACCCCTCACAATGGTCTACTGATGTTTATTTTTCATTTCTCTTTACTTTTAACTTTTTTTGATTTTATTGTCTGGCTTTATGTTTTTATATTGTTGCAAACTGCTACGATATATTTTTATGATCGTTGTATATATTTTTTTTTGAGGGACGTGAGTGGCGCTGTGGGTAAAAGCCTCAGCGCCTAGGGCTTGCCGATCGAAAGGTCGGCGGTTCGAATCCCCGCGGCGGGGTGCGCTCCCGCTGCTCAGTCCCAGCGCCTGCCAACCTAGCAGTTCGAAAGCACGTCAAAGTGCAAGTAGATAAATAGGGACCACTTACCAGCGGGAAGGTAAACGGTGTTTCCGTGTGCTGCGCTGGCTTGCCAGAGTAGCTTTGTCACGCTGGCCACGTGACCCGGAAGTGTCTCCGGACAGCGCTGGCCCTCGGCCTCTTGAGTGAGATGGGCGCACAACCCCAGAGTCTGTCAAGACTGGCCCGTACGGGCAGGGGTACCGTTGCCTTTTATATTTTATGATTTTTTGTATTTTATGGTTATGGATATTGTTTATGTATTTTGTTACGCAAATCACTTGCTGTGGATCTTTCGGATAGTAAAGCGGTCTATAACTGGAAACAGCAGCAATAATAAGAGAGTAATGCCCCAGTGTATGGGGTATTAGGCTTCCCTCTGTAGTACCTCTGGTGGGGGACGCGTCATTCTCCTTCTGGGGTAGTTTGTCTACCAATGGTCCCCACTCTGCACTCAGCTCTCACCTGTAGCTCCTGGAAGCTCAATATGCAACAGCTGCCACAGACAGGGAATGGCTTTGACTGGTTGGCTAAACCAGGCAAGGGTAGCTGATGGGTCACAAACCCTGAGTGAGTTAGGGACTTCCCTGCATGCAAAGACAGACTCTGGCGGATTGAGTGGACAAGACCAATAGTGGGTTCAACCATGGGCGTAGCAAAAGGGGGGGGGACTGCCTCCCCCTAAATCAAATAAATAAAAAAAATACTTAACTAAGTGACCAATTGTGTCGCAGATAGCTTGGTTCTGCCCCCCTAACATTGATCCTGCCCACCCTAATATGAATCCTGGCTACACCCAGGTCCAATGGTCAAGAAGGTGATTTCTGCACATACTGCAAAGAAAAATGAGGGTTTGTCCACCTGGATGGTGCCTTGTACGCCTCCTTCCAGCACCTCCTGCAACCAAGCCGGTGTCAAATGTCTTGCTTTCCTTTCCTTTGGACCACATCAGTGAGACCCGAGTGTGAGTGTGTGTCTTGTTGTCTGGGCAGCCTAGGACCTCCACATACTGCCCAGGCTTGTTCCCCAAGGAGGTTGCTTTGGTGCCGCTAATATAGCCGTTTGCTTTGATTCCTGGAGGCGCAGTGCATTGTCTTGAGACAGACGGATGTCAAAACAACAGTGCCCCTGAGCTATGGCCATTCTATGAAAGGAACATAGGAAACTGCCTTAAGTCAGACCATTGGTTCCTCTTGTTCAGCGTGGTCTCTGCTGTGTGGCAGCAGCTTGCCAGAACTTCAGGCTGGATTCTCTCCCAGCCTTTGCTGGAGATGCCAGGGAGGGATGGACCCTGGGGCCTTCTGCACGCAAAGGATCAGGAGTAGCTGATGCTCGTTGGGACTGGCGGGGCAGAAGGTGGCGAGCTTAAATGGTAGGCAGCCCCTGAGCCAATGGCAGACACAGGCAATTCATGCTACCTTTGTCCACAGGCACCTCCTTTTCCCTGCTGAGTTCTGCAAGGGCCGCGCTGAGGCTGATGAGACAGCAGCCGACAGGGAATGCCAGTGCCCCCCCCCAAAAAAAGACTAGCTATGAGGAAGGCAAGCAGGTGGAGGCTGGGTGAGGGCAGACTGCCACTGAGCGAGGGGCCCTTTGCTAGAGCAAAGCCAAGCCCATGCTATGCCTTTGACTGCAGTTGGCAATTCACTGCCAGAATCCTTCCCAAATCTGCCTCGGGACCTCCTACCATACTTTGCTGCTTTCCAAAGCTGGCCACGTCTCGGAGCAGGGTTGCCCTTTAAAAGTTTGGCCTGGATTTGATGTCCTTTTTGGGGTGCAGGAACCCTTTCAAGATCTGGGGCTTTCAAAGCAAGCATGGCTATGTTTTTCTTTCCTTCTTTCCTTTCTTCCTTCCTTCCTTCCACCCTCCCACCCGCACCCTCCATCTGAGCTGATCTGGCACAGCGACTAATGCGGCCATCTGCACTGTGCAAGGAGGGCTGGCACCGCAGCCAAGTCCAAAACCCTCCTTTTGTTCTCGGGGCCTGCTGCTGCGGTGCTGATAAGGCGCGCTCTGTGTTGGCCACTATGTCTTACTACGTCTTCGAGGCAGACTGCAAAGGATCAGGTAAAGGCACCCAAGGTTACCCAGTGTCTTGGCATTGGGGGGGGGAGCTTAGGGGGGACAGGGACGCTGGCTTAAACTCAGCAGCAGCCTCTAGGGCAAGCTTAGGTGCGCTATGGGGGAAGACAGCCCCAGGAGAAGGTGCAGGGGGGGAGATGACATGCCAGTCCGGTTGGAGATCCTCAGGGCCTCCCTTCTCACCATGTGGCCTCCCCCACCCCGCATGTTTCCTGAACATTGCATGTTGTGCTCTGTTTTACAAAGGGAAGGGGCCTTAGCTCCTTATTGGTGAAGAGTACAGTGGTACCTTGGGTTACAGACGCTTCAGGTTACAGACTCCGCTAACCCAGAAATAGTACCTCGAGTTAAGAACTTTGCTTCAGGATGAGAACAGAAATTGTGCGGTGGCGGCGGGAGACCCCATTAGCTAAAGTGGTACCTCAGGTTAAGAACAGTTTCAGGTTAAGAATGGACCTCTAGAATGAATTAAGTTCTTAACCCAAGGTACCACTGTATCTGCTTTGTGTGCAGAAGGTCTGGGGTTCAATCCCCAGCCTCTCTCAGTGGGGAGATCTGCTGACCATCAGCATGGCTAAGACTGAGTTAGACAGACCAGTGGTCTGTTTTGGTCTTCATGTGTTTAGCTGAACAACAGGCTGCCTGTGTGGGCACACCTCTCCAACAAATGGCTGGTGTTCTCCATTTTGGCAGCACTCATTGGCAGTCTAGGGGAAGGGCTAGCCTGGCCAGGTGAGGAGTTTTGCAGCGATAGATGAGGGGATAGCGAAGCAGCACCCAGTCTGGGACACAGATGCCAAGGCTACAAATAACATTTTATTTCTTCCCATCCATTTCCCTTTCCCCTTCTGCTCCTTCAAGTGACCAGCATTTCTGACAAAGGCCTATTAACCTTGCCACATCAGTTAAACAAACGGTTATTTTTATACTTTAGGTGAGCTGTTCACTTGTTGGACGGTCTCTCCATCTGCAATATAGGGAGAATAATGGTGACCTACTTTACAGGGTTCCTGTTAGGATGTCCAAGATAATCTATGTGAAGAACTCTGAGTTCTTGGGGAAAGCTTTCATAGACAGCAAATGTCAATGTGTTATGATTGCCATGGTGTCTTGTGCTTCTACTGATCAGGACAGTGTGGTGTTTATTTTTACCACCGCATTATCATAGCTGGCAACTGTTAGCGGAATGAGGAAGATAGGTACTGACCTTTCGAAACCAGAATGTTTAACCTGCTAGCTTTGTATCTTACTCAACATTTGGTAATCATTCTCACTTTGTACGTTTTCTTTTTCCAAAGCTGGGAACGTCCACTCTCCTTCCACAAGCATGGCAGGCTCAGGGCAATACAGACAGCTTATAAATGACTACGGACCCCCATCTCTAGGTTACACACAAGGAGTGCAGGTAAAAACTTCCAACATTCTGGGCTGCCAGCAGTGTGTCTCTTATGCCATTTATTCATTCATTTATGAACAAGTTCCCTTGAAACTTCCCCAAGGGTTTGACAATAAAAAACATATATAAGGACAATTTCAAATCCGACAGAAACAGACCGGGATAAGAACCTCATTTGAAAAGACTTGTTGAAAAAAAGGGAAGTTGTCTATATTGTTAATTTATATACATACACCACATACAGTTCCAAAATAGTAGTTTGCAAAATATAAAAACAGAGTGACAGAAAAGTTAAAATAGAAATGTCCCCAATTAAAACAGTGCAGCAATTAAAATCTGGAGATGGGCTGAGAAATCGAGGAAATGCCTGTGTAAGTCAACAAACTGGTCGTGATGTCACTTAATGGATTAAATTTAAGTGGATGGATTAAAATAAATATTACAGCTTCCAAACAGAAGTGATATTGACCAAATTCAGCACTGAGTGACTATGTGATTCAGGTACATGGCGTTTTTGCTGTGGGTGTGGCATCTAAGGGTTCATGTTTATTTGTTAACAAGCTTCTGTTTTTCACAAGCGTCGACTCTACATTTAACCTGCTCGCCTCAACGATGGCATTAATAAATATTGCAGCTTTCACGTTCAAGTTGCTTTAAAGGTGCAGTGCTCACTACTTGGGGCTTCCCTAGGGCTTGATCCGGAAGCTGCGGCTAGTGCAGAATGCTTCAGCACGGCTGCTGTCACGAATGAGACCCTGTCTGCATCAGGGATCTGCATTAGTTGCCCATTTCCCATCTGCTACCCAGACAAGCTCAGTCTGTTGTTATTAGCATATTAAGCCCTCAACAACCTGGGAACCAGTTTACTCGCAGGGTCGCCTTACCCCTTACATGCCAACTCAACTGCTTTGATATGTGGAACTGGAACACCTGTAAGAAATAGTTATCTTGGGGGGGGGTGTTACATATTGTAACTCCCAGCCTGTCAACCCCAGACAGACGTCTGATTGAAACCTTTTCGTTTAGGCAAGCCTATGCAGATGGCTGTGGGCAGGATTCCTGCATTGTGGGGGGTTGGACTAGATCAGTGTTTCCCAACCGGTGTTCCGCGGCACACTAGTGTGCCGCCGGACGTTGCCTAGTGTGCCGTGGGAGTAGTGGCGTAGCGTGGGGGGTGCCAGGGGTGCCAGTCGCACCGGGCGCAACATCTGCGGGGGGCGCGAGTCCAGAGGGAAGGGACAAGTTCCTTCCTCCGCCGGGCTCCCCGCCGCCACCGCCAGCCTTGCGCCCTAGCGCGCGCGCACCCCCCGCTGCGGCTGCGCTCCACTCACTGCTCGCAGGAGGAGCAGCCACTGCAGCAGCGCTGACACCGCCACCGACGCCGGGCACGGGCAGCCTCCGCACGCCGACGCCATCCCCTTCCCCCTTTTTTTCCAGAGCTGGGGGAGGGGGAGGTTTTAAAAGGGGGTCTTGCATTGGCGATCCTGCAGCACTTTGGGCCGCACGACGCGAGCGCGCAGCACGGATCAGCCACGACCCCACCCCGTGCATTTCCCGGGGAAAAGTGCTCCACGTGGGAGGCGCGTTTCCCCTTCATTCCCTCTCGTGCAAATCCTCCTTGGGTTCCCTCCCCCGTCTTTCCTCTCCCTACCTCACAAAAGCCTCACCTCGTCGCCTCCTCGCTGCCTCTCGCCTCCGCAGGAGCGTTTCCCTCCGCGGAAGAAGGAGCAGGGCGCTTTTGCAACTTTGCCTTCCCCGCCCCACCACGGAGCACATTTTCCTCGCCCCCCCAACCCCCGCATGTAGAATAGAAGCCCTCCAGCCTCCACGGTGCACAAACTCTCCCCTCTGCAACGAAGCGCTTTGTTGCATATCTTTGGTGAGGTTTTTAGGCAGTCTTGGTGCACCTTAAATCAGCGCTAATTGCGCCTGGACGCAGTATTTACTTCTGAGTAGGCCCCCTTCTCCCCCCCCCCCCGTAGCACCTGACGTTGCTATTCGTATCATCAGGTTTGTTTGTTGATAATTTAATTGTTTTAAAAGCATCATGCTAAAGAGCTCTCTCCCACCCCCAGACCCTTGGGCAAAACAGAAACACACACATACACAAACACAGAGATTGAGCCCTGCAGGTTTTATGAAATGAATGGATTCTGAATGCCTGTTTCAGTGGCTTGTCCGCCTTAGGCTGCTGGGCCAGACACCTGTTACACGGTGCAGTCCGTAAGCTGTGAGCGCTGCTACCTGCCGCCGAGACCACGTAACGACAGTCTTGAAAGACCTACATTGGCTCCCAGTACCTTTCCGAGCACAATTCAAAGTGTTGGTGCTGACCTTTAAAGCCCTAAGCGGTTTCGGTCCAGTATACCTGAAGTAGCGTCTCCGCCACCATCGTTCAGCCCAGACACTGAGATCCAGTGCCAAGGGCCTTCTGGCAATTCCCTCACTGTGAAAAGTGAGGTTACAGGGAACCAGGCAGAGGGCCTTCTCGGTAGTGGCGCCCGCCCTGTGGAATGCCCTCCCATCAGACATCAAAGAGATAACCATTACCTTCTATGCTGTTACTATTTTTTTATTTTTTTTTACATAAGTAAAAAGTGACCTTTCCCCATCTGGCATGGTGGTGTGCCTCGAGATTTTTTTCATGAAACAAGTGTGCCTTTGCCCAAAAAAGGTTGGGAAACACTGGACTAGATGACATTTGGGGTCCCTTCCCACTCTAATATTCTATGTGAAATGTTGATGTCTTTCTTCTTTTTAGCTACTATTGATTTTAATGATCTTTTAAATATTTTAAAGGACCCGTTTTTAACTGTTTTTATTGATAATGTTAATATTTGATAATTTTGTAAGCTGCTTAATAGGATTTCTTACAATCAAGCAATATATGTTTTTTAAAGTACAGTAAATAAATAAAATAATGAGGGGGAAACCCTCCCGTCCCGATATGGCCTGCACTAAACAGCCACTTTTAGACTGCAATTCTGTGCATGCTTTCCCAAGAGTAATCCCCACTAATCAGAGCATGTGTAGGATTGGACTGTCACCCTGCAATTTATGAATTGATTAATTTGAGCTTTATTGTGGTTTGTTGGTTCTTGTGACTTGCTCTGGTCTAATTCAGATCCCATTTCTTTCTGCTGCCAGGGAACGAGTAGCAGTCAAGTACCACAGAGCAAGTATGCAGAACTCTTGGCCATCATAGAAGAATTAGGAAAAGAAATCAGGCCTACATATGCGGGAAGTAAAAGTGCCATGGAAAGGTTAAAACGAGGTAATGAAGCTAATATTTTAGGCCGTATTATTTACACTAAATCACTTGACTTAAGGACCTAGTCCACAAGATTATGAGGAAAAGGTCAAAAAACACAATATCTGATAAAGGTTAATTAATAAGAGTGGTCCAGGTTGGGCTTATAGTGGCCCAGGAGCTCCCACTTTAAGCCAGAGTAGAGACGAAAACGCCACCTAGTCCCACCCAAAGAGAAGGCTAACCTGTGCAATTCATACCAAGAGCATATGAAGTAATATATGACTTTTAACGTATAGGCGCTGTGGGTTAAACCACAGAGCCCAGGACTTGCCGATCAGAAGGTCGGCGGTTCGAATCCCCACAACGGGGTGAGCTCCCATTGCTCGGTCCCTGCTCCTGCCCATCTAGAAGTTCGAAAGCATGAAGTGCAAGTAGATAAATAGGTACCGCTCTGGCGGGAAGGTAAACGGCGTTTCCGTGCGCTGCTCTGGTTCACCAGAAGCGGCTTAGTCATGCTGGCCACATGACCCGGAAGCTGTTCGCCGGCTCCCTCAGCCAATAAAACGAGATGAGTGCCGCAACCCCAGAGCCGGCCACGACTGGACCTATGGTCAGGGGTCCCTTTACCATGACTGAAGACTGTTTGTTCTGATACCTGGCAACTTCTCCCAGCCCCAGTCAGCATAGCCAATGATCAGAGCTAATGAGAGTTGCAGTTCAGCAACATTTGGATGGCACCATCTTGGATACACCTGGATTAATGGGTTGCTATGCGCCTCTTTCCCTGGCCACCTAGAAACATGCTTTGCCCCTCTCCAAAAGTATTTAAAGATAAAACTTTCTTCCTTACAAAAAATGCTGCAATGGCCACTGAACCGCTTCAGAAAAAGGGGAAATATATAACTCAAAGGCATGCTCCACCAAGGAAGTTCTCCTGCAAATGTCCCAGTGAAATGAAAAAGCAGCTATACCTTCATATGAATCTGGCAAAAAGTCAATGCCTCCCAAACTGTACAGTTCTTAAACCAAGGCGCACTTTCCCTAATGAGGCCTCCTGCCGCCGGTGCCCTTCCACCGTTTGGATTCCGTTCTTAGACCGAGGTAAAGTTCGCAAAGCGGGACACTTCTTCCAGTTTTGCGGAGTTCGTAAACCGAATTGTTCGTAAACAGGACTGTTCTTAAACTGAGGAACCACTGTATTGTTTTTGTAAAAGTGAACACAAGCAGACTTTATGTTACTTATTTTGCAGGTATCATTCACGCCAGAGGACTAGTTCGAGAGTGTTTGGCAGAGACTGAGCGCAATGCAAGATCCTAGCATCTCTTCCCATGGCTGCAAGATTTTTCCACTTCTTATGAAAAAGGGACACCAGTTCCTTTGGAGACTACAGAAGGCATTCAGAGAGATCCCTTAATTTGACTCTACCACTCCCCCCCCCCACTGCCATTTCCAAGAATGTGGGCCGCAATCCAAAGTAGCACTTGGGAGGCAGCCAAGGGCTTGTGTGCCCAGTGGAAAGTTTGAATCCCCCCAACAAATACATCCAAAAGCAGCTCACCATCCAGCATGGGGGTCATTGGTTTGAGAAAGTCCAAAGGTCCCCTTGGGTGGATAAAACATGTGCTGTCTTTTTTTTCTTCTGGATCCTGGCCATAGTCAAGAAGATTATCCTCCTTCTCATTTAAAGTGGAGTTTGCAGTATTTCATTTAAGTTGAGGCATTAGTTGAAATTTTTTATTTAAAAACAACTGCATTCCTCTCTCTTAATTCTCTGTTCTGTCTCAGGTTGCTTCTTCAACTAACAGTGTTCCCCATATCCAGTGGTTTTCAAACTGCATTCTAGGAAAGGTCTACGGCTCCTTAGCTTTCTAGGGACTTCTCAGTAACAATATCAGTAATGTTGGACACGCTCCCCTGAAAAGGGAGCTCCTCTGCTGCTGCCAGTATTCCTGTGTAATGTAAAAGGGGCACTGGTTATGTTCTAGGTTGCAAGGTACGGTCATGTGGGGCATTGGCAAAGCTAAGCAGCTCCAGACATCACACCCCATGGATTGGGTGTACGCATCCCAGAGTCCTCTGCAGTGCAGCAGACTTACTATGGCAAACACTCAGCCTTTGCAGAACAGCAGAGGAGTAAAGGGCTGCTTGAAAGCAAAATTTGAAAACAGCCGCCTTAATCCTCAAGCATTCATTTGGCTTCACCACTAAACCATTTCTTACCAGACTCCTTTAATTTTGAGTACAGATATTGCTTCTTGTTTTACCAGCTGACAGCCTAATTTCTAATTTGGTGCACGCACCATAAATTTTGTTCAAACATTATCCCCGCTCCCCACCATTTTGCATGATTGTTAGTGTTTCCATTAAAAGTGCATGAGTTCTACAAAAAGACTATTCTAACCTGTCACAGGCCCCAAAAGCAACTCTATTCCCCCAGATTTAAATTGTAACTTTGCCAAAAAAAAAAAATTCCAAATAAGTGACTAAAACTGTTATTTGCATCTTTGTATGTATTTATTACTTGACGTAATAAAGCTTATTTTCATTAACAATTTGGTACTGTTAAGCAGCAGAGGCCCAATTACTCAAAAGCATTAAAGCGTAGAATTACTGGAACATCTGAGAGATCCCTCAGGAAATCCAGCATAGGAACTTGGTGATGTGGAAGCATAAAGGATAAGGTAAGCAAGCATGATGGGGGAATTACCCCTTACACCATTCTGAACATGCCATATCCAGTGACATCACACAGGCCCATTGAGCTCAGTGAACTTCATTGGTCTATAAAAGAGCTTTCCAAACTGTGTCACAACACGTTAGTGTGTTGGCTGCAAAGTGTAGGTGTGTTCCACGAATGCTCTTATAAGGGGTTAGTTTGGCTGTCAGTTTGCTAGTAAACTTACCCTGTTGCAAAATATGCATGTCTAAAAAGTTTGTCACCAACATGCGAAGATTGAAAAACTCTGGTCTATGACATAGCTGGTGATCAGCCGGTACTACTCATGGGTTCCCGTTTCCCTCCAAATCCACTTTCCAGCACTGTCAACTTTAAAGAGATGGAGGCTTCTGCTGGTGAGTGTTCAACCTTCCTGACTGACCACCTCTACCTGACCAGAGTGTATGCAACCACCCAAAAACTCTGAGGAACGCTGGAAGAAGTGGCAGAAGCCACCTTGACACCTTCACTTGAGCTGAGAAGCCTTAGCAGAACTGGCTTTCATTATACATTATACAGAGCAGAGGTGGAAAATTTAGGACACTCCAGCTATCAGACTACAGTTCCCTTCACCCTTTTCCATTGGACCTTGATGAACAGGGCTGATTGGAGCCCAACAAAATATGGAGGGCCACATCCTTGCCTTAGAGGGTTCCACTGGCCCCATAAAGTGCCACCACCATTTGCCAGGAAAGGGAGTTGCTGCTCTGTTCTCTGCTGTGTTTAGGCCATCAGTTAGCCAGAGTGAGCTTCAAGTTCAGCAGCAGGTGACAAAAAGGGACCACTGTTCTAGCATGTCCCTATAATGAAGTATCATTCCACCTTGGTCGAAAGCAACTTTCAGCTTGAGGTTTTTGGTTTGAGCATCCATACTTGCTTGTTCCCTTGTCTCTGCCACAGAGAGGACCCACTGGGCATCCACTCCAGCACTGTTGAGGCAAAGCAGAACATTTATGGAGGGAACATATGGCCTTCCAGATGTTGTCAGACTCCAACCCTCTTCAGCCTCTTTCAGCAAGACCAATGATTGGGGTTGATGGGGAAAGAAGTCCAAAAGCCACTAGAGCACGACAGGTTCTCCATCCCTGCTGTAGTGCTTGAGATTAATGCCTCGCTGCTATATTCTGCAGGCCGCAAAGTAAGAGATCCAGCTAATCCTGGGCTAGGCCACTCTTTTTCAACCTTGGGTTCTCAGCTGTTGTTGAACTACAACTTCCATCATCCCTGATCATTGGCTAAGATGGCTGGGGATGATGGGAAAATGGGGGGTCCCAACACACATACACCTGAGAACTCAAGGCTGAAAAACACAGGGTTAGACACCACATACTTGGTGGCTTTGCCACTCCACTGCATGCCATGCTGTTCTAGTTTTATGGGCTCTGCTTGGGCGTCATGCAGTTCTCATTTTGCATGCCTTGTGCCAAATGCTGACACAATGCTGGGAACACACCACACCCACTGCTTCATGGCTGCAGAGTGGCCAGCACATACACGGCCTATTTTGGGTAATGACCTGATGACAGAGGCTCGGGCAGGGCTTGCAGCTAAGCGTTGCTTGTCCACAACCACAAAACCACTGATGTGTTATTACCGAAAGGCAACTGGGCACCAATTCCTGAAAGTGTGGACAGGAAGTCTCCCTAATCCTGCCTTAAAACAAGGGGCATCCATCTGGTTCCATCTGGAACATGTTTGATGCAGTAACTTCTTAAGAGTGAGGCAAGGTTGGTTTGTAGGCTCAATTGCTGGTTACCGCAAAGGTAGAAAAGCTCTTTTCCATCTGAAACGATGGAATGATGAACATCTACAAATGTCACAGTGTACCGTCACTTTTTTGCCTCTGAACTGCAAGCAGTTTTTCTCACAATTCTAAAAAACCACAACCAGGCAAGTGTCCCCCTCCCATGCACAACAAATTGGATGAGGTTTTTTTTTAATAAAACAACCAACCAAAACCCACAACTACCCAGTCCTGTTTATTTGTCCTCTAATGCTTGCATTTCTTTCAAGTGCCTTTTCCTTTCAAGGTTTTCTTTTGCTCGCCTCTTCTTCTCTTGCTTTTTCTTCTGAAATTCCCGCTTCTCCTTAACAACGTCACTGGTTTCACCTTTGTAGAAAACATCCACTTTCTCCTGGAGGATCTCTCTAGCTTTTTTACGGTTCTGATCCACTGATCTTGTCTGATGGCACTAGAAGGAGGGCGGGGAGAAAAAATAATTCGCTTAGGGGATTGGAGCCAGCCCCATCCTGAAAGTTAGAAATGCTATTGCAGGCCTGGTGATACAGAACTACTTTGTCTGGGAAAGAGAATTCTAAGAGAAGGAAGCAGATGAGGTGGCTGGAGAGGCACAAAAGGACTGTAGAAGCTTGAAAGAGGATTTATGGAGCCATCCGTATGTGGCTGTAGGATGCTGGAAGGTGGCAGAAGTTTTGTAGATGAGTGGAAAGAAAGGCAGGGGCTGGAGACATAAAGGCAGTACAATGGACCAAGCCCCACTGTTCTCCATGTTTATGCGCTTTTGGCAGCTCTTGAGGGTGGGGGAGATGCAAACCATTAAAATAAGCTAGGATTGTGATGTGGCCACTGCCCCCCAAGTGCAAGCCGGAAAAGGATGGGGCTGCTTAGCTCTTTTCTCTCTGGTGCAGCAAAGCGCCGGGGTGAAATCACCTCAGTGGTAGCGCCATGCAGAGCTGTGGCAGGAAGCAGGGTTTTGAACATTGAGATGTACCACCAGATCGCAATGTTTGTCTGGTGCTACATTGCAGTGTTGAAAACCTGACACTGCCCACCCCTACTCTACTGATGAAATGGCAGTTCAGTCTCCGCCTGTTGAAAGGGTGCCTTTGTCATCTGTTTCCTACCTCACAGAATCATGATTTCAAGAACTACCTATAGACTCTTGGTGGACATGCCGACAATTCCTTTGGAGTAGACTCCCAAAATGGATTTTCTCATGAATCTGATCGGAGAAACCAACGTGGTGCTCACCAGATGTTTTGGGTTACATTTCCCCGGATCGCTGCAACATCACTGTCAGGGAAGACTGCTTTGAGGTTATTTCTACAATCAAGTGATATACAAATTTTATGAAAATGGAATTGTTGTCCAAAATGTATGGAGGGCACCATGTTAGTTATCCCTGCTCTACCCATTCTAGCTGGTGTGACCTGGATGCTACACATGGGGCTTCTCAGGAATGTGAAGAACACACACCTCAGCCTTATTGGCCCATATGCCTATCCAACAGTATATAGTTTTTTGTGATATGAAAACTTCCTGGCTGATCACCTGAACACAACTCTTACTCCAGTGGACAAGCTTTTTACAAACCTCTGTTGTGCTAAACACTGTATTACGTGAAGCAGAAAACTAGTGAAACTTGCCAAAGAAGCAGATGTGGAGCAAAGTCAAGCAACTCACCTTGACTACAATTCCTGAAGGAAGATGTTTCAGGACCACACAGTTACTGGTTTTATTGGTTGCTTGGCCTCCGGGTCCAGAGCCACGGACAAACTGCTCTTCTAGGTCAGCCTCATGTAGAGGAAGGAGGTCTCTGAAGCTCTTCTTTCCCACTTCAAGGAGCAACGGTCTGGGCCACCAAGGCATTAAAAAACGTGACTTCCACCAAAGCCTTGATGCCAGAGGGAAACCACTTAGTCCATTCAATGTGTTTGCCAAGAGCGGTAAACTTGAGGGAGGCATAGAAAACTCTAGAGATGAGGACTCCTAATTTAAACAATAGGAGAGAAGCCAAGAAAATACTCATAAGTAACTGTCAGTATATCTGGCCCTAACATTCAGTGGAACATAGGAAGAAGCATTATACTGAGTGAGACCATTGGTCTATCTAGCTCAGTACTGTCTTCACTGACTGGCAGAGGCTCTCCATGATTTCAGGTAGGGTTCTTGCCCAGCCCTATCTGAAGCTGCCAGGGATTGACCCTGTGACCATGAGGGCACAAAGCAGTTGCTTACTATTCAGCCACAGCCTTTTGTACACATGCACTTTGTGGTGCTGTGCTTTTGGTGGTGGAGGATGGGACCCAATTTTTTTTAATTTTTCTCAGACTACACCACTGCAGTGTGGAATGCAAGCTGTCTGTTTTCATTGACTCTGCTGACTTCACATTACATTCCAGGGTAGCAGGAGAGGACTTAACTGTCAAAAGAAATGATATCCTGTCTGATGATTTAATCCCAGCCATGACACCACACAACACCAACATCTCATATGATGTGGGTAGGGCTGTGATATAGTTGCTATCCTCCCTTTGAGCCTTCTCCACCCCTGAACTCTCTCCTCCTCCCAGTCCCCAGACTGAAATATCATCTTGTTACTAAACAGTACAGGGTGCTTTTCCAACTTCTGGCTGAAGTTAATCTTTTCATGGAGAAAAAAGAGAGGAGTAAAAAAACTGGCCACGGTCTTTTTCTGTTAGTCAGACAAGTGGCAATTAAGCTTTCCAGCTTGATGTCTCTTTTTCTGAAAACAAAGCCACTCTATGATTAAGGGAGCAAGACTAACAGCCTGATTCTAACACCTGCCACATCTGAACACTCACCTGGCCACTGTGCCAGCACACAAATTGTGGAATGTGGCCTTGGAAGTATTTATCTACAGGTACCCCAATCTTCACATGATCAAATTGAAAAGGCTTCGGGGTCAAGATAATGCTGCTACACACACATTATTAGGAACCTTTTGCTTTATTTGAGCGATTTATCCGACCATCTGTTTTATGTATATTGGACCAATTGTAAATCATTTATTTGCTTAAATTAAAAACACAAACTGAAAGGACTTCCATTTCTGTAGAGGAAGACCAAACAGGTTTCTGCTCACAGTACCCCTTAGCAATTGCTGATCCAAAGGGTACAGAAAAACCAAATATTTTCAATGAGCCAAAATGCTCACTTGGTGGCACCAGAAACCAAGAGATAGGGGAGGAAGTAAATGCTTCCTTGCAAAACCCGAATTGTAACTATTATAAAATTACAGGGCTATAGAAATCACCAATATCACTACTGATTTGTCTGGACAAATTCCAAGCAATAGTCAGAAGTGGAAAACACATCTTCACCCAGAAGAGCACTGATTATACAGATAAGTAAGGAGGTCATGCTGCAGCTGCTGGTCACATGTTCCATGATGGCACTGCCCTGGAATGCTTAACCCTGAACTGGTCTGTGGGCAAACAGGCGCTTCATTTTGCTAAAATGATTCTAAATATATGCCTTTTGGGTTTCCAGCTTAAATATGTCTGGATTTGGCAAAAGTAATAAAACAGTTTTCAAAGAAAGTGATCAAGCAACGGGAATAAAGCAGCTCTTTGCTCTTCCTTAGGACTGCCAGGCTGCAACTTGGTCTACGAAGTAACTTTATGTTCCCTGACAATGCAGTGAAAACAGATTCAACCCTTTTTCTTCCACCAAATCCGGAGAATTCTGACCAAAAAGAAATGGAAACAGGAATTGCCAATTATTTGCCCCATCCAGCACACAAATCAATCCAGTGAATATTATTCACTGTTGTTGTTGTTGCTTTGACTATACAAACAATATGCAACTGATTACTCCCCTCTCCATTTGCATGGATATGTAACTTACACCATCAGTTACTTAAGTTATGTAATTTTGCTACAGGGGACAGCAAGATGAATAATGTGGGTTTTGGTGGAAGATAAGCTGCAGCGCAACAGAAACAGTGCTGCTTGCAATGAATAAAGGGTGAAGTAGAAAACAATGCCTTACAGCTCTACTATCCAGATGTCTTGGACTACAACTCCCATTAGACTAAGCCAGGTGATGGTGATTGTAGCCTGTAACATCTGAACAGCACTATGATGGCAAAGGCTACCTATACAAGTTGAATACTGCAGGAGGGGAGTCTTCTTGTGCTTGGGTCCTGCATGTGGGTTTGTCACTGTGAGAAGATGCTGGATTAGATGGGGCACTGGCCTGATCCAACAGGCTCCTCTTATGTTCTTATTCTGTTGTCCAGTCCCTCCCATGTTTACTGTAATAATTAATGTGACAGGCAGGTGAGGGAGTACATAACAAGAACTGATAGGAGAGGGCAGGAGATCATATTACTTTTTCATCTCTCAGTGCATTTGGAAATTTAAATACATAGTGCAGGTTTCTTCCTCCTCTTACCATCCACAGTATTAAATTAATAGGGCAACTAATCCCAGTAACTTTAAACTGAATTCCAGGATACTGCCAAGAAATAAGTAGTGGGTGGAAAAAAAAAAGCTTAGCCAAAAATGGAATATAGTTGATTCAGCTTTTTTAAAAAGCAGCAGCAGCAGCCAAAATAGGTTACTGAAGTCAAACAATGGAATAATGAGATTTGATAAATAATGGTACTGAGTTTTTTAAATAAATATATACCGTACCTTCTAGTTTAAGAAGGCAATTAAAAAACAAAAAACGTTAAAGTACACCTCCCTTCTAAGGTTTCACTGATGCCAGCATCTGTTAATGATATTCTGCTCTCTCCTGCCCCCAAGATACCAACAGAGCATTTCCAATTTGAAGGCTCCATTCCAGAGCAACACCATCATAGAACAGAATGTGTCCACCAGCCACAAAACTCCAGCTTCTCTGTTCAAGAAATGCGGTCTTCCAGATGATGATGCATTTCTGATGCCAATTTAAACAATTAAAAATAAAATAAAAAATGAAGTAATGAACAAAACATACCCCCTCAAGCATTTTGTTTGAAATGAAGTACGCTGCTTTGAAGACACGTTCCCCACTGCTCATCTTCCCATCCACCCACCCCATTTCACTCTGCGCTGAAGTCACAATCCATTGCTGGACCACATCAGTTGCCAGGGGAAAAGGCTGCATCAGGATTTCCTCTGTAGGACCTCCTAGGAAGACTGCAAGGCATTGCAACCAAGTGCTAGATTAAACACAGGTTGGCCACCGCTCATCATGGCAAGAGTGAGTAGATGTTGCTATACTTTTGTGTCTGGGTTTTCAAAATGAGGTAGGGCTCTGCAAGCAGCTGCCAGGGGGAAAATACAAACTTGTCTGTTGACCCCTTTCAGCCTAATGCTGGTCTAGTAGCCCAATTGCTCCCAGTCTCCCTTGGTCTCCTGGTGACACGGTTTCCATGGTGCAAATCTAAGGCAGCTGTCAATTTTAAGGGTTTGGTTTCTAAGTCAAAAGGCAACAGGCATCCTGCCTTACATGTTCCTGCCTCTGTTTTATAAGTGGAAGACTCCAGGCTACATGCTGTAGGTGCAACAAGAAGGCTCCTGGGCTCCATTCTTGGCTCTGGATGTACTTGGGCAGCAAGACTCTGGGTTGCAATCCCAGCTCCACATCTGAGGTGAGGATGCAGCAGAACTTCTATATTCCATCCTTGACACACAGGGTAGGACTCCTGTTTCTGTGGGCTGGGAGGTAGCCAGTACTCCTGGGGCTTAAAGGTGATTGCAAGTGACTTTGTCGTTTTTGCGGGGAGAATAGAAAAGCTCTTCGTTTTGGAGATGAGGGTGGGAAGGGGGAGAAAGAATGCTGAGTCCTGGCTTTACAAATGATGAAGTGGAGGACAGGCTCCTGGGTCTCTCCTGGCTGTGGATGGTGCTGGGCACAGAAAAAGAGGGGTCATTTTTTGGAGGAGTGAGAGGTTTGAGAGCAGGTGGTGCAGTGGTTAGAGCAGACTTTCTCAATCTCTGGTCCCCAGACGTGGTTGGACTACAACTCCCATCATTCCAGACGGCTGGCCCTTCTCATTAGGGATGATGGGAATTGTAGCCCCACAACATCTGGGGACCCAAGATCGAGAAAGTCTGGGTTGGTGTGTCAGACGAGGACCTCACAGACCCAAGTTCGAATCCCCCCTCAAGCATGAAGCTCCCGGAATGATCTGGGGCCGTTGCTGACTCTCAACCCAACCGGCCTCACAGGCTTGTGGTGGTGATTAAAGGAAGGCGGGAAGAATCATGTGCTCGTCACGTTGAGCTCCATGAATATATAATAAGGTGGGCTATAAATGCAAAAAATACACGACTAAGGTTCCGTCTCCTGGGTCCTCCTTGGTGAAGGGCTGCTGGATTCCGGTTTTGTAGGGGGGGGGAGGTTTGGGGGGGGCGCAGGACTCCTGGGTTTCTTCTGCAACTGAGCGCAAGGCCTCTCAATCGAGGGCCGAGGTGGGGACCGGGAACCCCGCCTGTTGCACTTCCACCTAGGCCGGAGGAAAAGCAGAAAACCGCTCTGCTGACGTCTCTTACCTACTGCGGGACGGGTCAGCTCGCCTCAGAAGAAGGAGGCCCCAGCCTGTCTGCGCATGCGCCGCCGTGTATTTACTTCACTGACCCCGAGGGAGAGAAAGAGAGAGCGCCCCCACCCGCCACTCCATGAAGGTTCCACTCCAACAGGGGCGGCGGAGAGCCAATCACAGAGCACGACCCGTTACGCGACGGGCCTTTCTCCTTGCCACCGCCCAATGGCCGCGAAGCTCCCATTCCACGCCCCTCCGCTCCCGCCCCCCTTGTTGGGTAGCCAATCGCATCCCGCGTCCCACCCCGGCGCGCGGCTCGGAGCAGCCAATAAGCGTCCGGGTGAAGCCGCCTCGCGAGCCTCTTGCGTCTGCTTTGAAAAAGCTTCGAATCTCAACCGCCAACCCTGAGGGGAGGAGGTCGAGGGGAAAGAGCCCGCCGCGGTCGCCGTTGTTTACAGCCTGACCTCTCTCTCTCTGAGGTGGGCGAAGGAAAAAACGCGGGAGCCGCCGTTTTTCTACCCCCCCCCCGACTAGGCCAGCGATTCGAAATGCAGGTAAGCGACCGGATGTTTCTGGAATGTAACGGCTGTTGGCCTTTTGACGAGGGCAGGTTTGGAAAGGGCCTTCGGACGAGCCCTCGGGCGGCAGAGCGGCGCTCCCGTTAGCCAATCAACGCCTGGCCTCGCTCGTCAACATTCCAGAGCCAGCCAATCAGGACGCAGGAAGGTTGGGCTGCGGAATTGGGAGACAACATCTTCGCGAAGTGGGTCTCGCGGAAGCCTCGGGGCTCGGGGGGCGCGCGCGCGTAATAGGAAGAGCGAGGCGGCCCGGGTTCGAGTCCTCTCTCCGCTCAGCCTCCGACTCGCGCTGGGTGAATTGGAGCCGGTTGCTGCCTCAGCACTGCCTGCCTCGCCGGGTTCTGGAGAGGAGGGTCAAAGGGAAAATAAACAACTTGACGGGAAAAGGGGGCGGGATTCAACTCCTGAGCTCTTTGATGAGAGGATATGTGAGTTTAATAATAATAATAATATAGTTTAGATGGAGAGGAAGGTTGTTTTTAAGTGCTCCTATTGCTTTTGTTTTCATGCTTTCTAGTTCTTTCTTTATCTTATATAAGATCATCCCTATATGCTATATTGTAACTAAGCCGAAAGTATGTACTGTATACAGTAATAAGTGAAACGATCATTTATTCTTCTGTTTGTCCCTGCTTCCCTTTCCCACTGCCTTCCCCCTTTTGCTTCTGATATCAATTTTTATCTGATAAGCCCTTTTGGGGTAGGAAATAGTGATGACTGTTGTTTCTACGGTGCCCTGTATGTGGATAGCGGTATATACATATTCAATATAAGTTGCTTGCATTAGAGCCATTAGAGGGAAAAGGGCAAGATAAGATGGAAGCAGCAGTAATTATAAAATGCCTCAAACGTGACGTGCTGTGATAGTTAGAAACAATGAACTTTGTGAGTAGGGACATGCATTCTTTTAAAAATGGATTTAAAGACAGAAGGGGGGAAGTGGAAGCAAAAAAAACCAGCTTCGGCGTTAAAAATGCATTTATTGAAGGATCAGTAGGGTCTGAAATGCACTGGATCAGTAAATACGATAAGGATAAAAATTGGAAAGTACTGATACTGCAGGAATGTTAAAAGAGCATGTTTAATAATACTTCAACTGCTTTAGATTTTTCAGAGCACTTCCTGTAGACTGTATCTTACCCTATGCAATAGAAGTGGGGGACTTGGGGGGCCTAAAATATTTTTATTGAACTTTAGATTTTATCAGCCCCAGCCAGCATAGCCAGTGGTCAGGGATGATGAGACTTGTAGTTTAACATATGGAGACCAGTCCTGTGCTTTTTTTTCTGGAGGTAAATTGTACGCAGTACCAGCACCCTTTTTTTCCTAGAAGAAAAGTACTGGGAGCCGCAACTACCTTATAAGGAAGACCAATACTTTTTTCTCCATATTGTAAATGGGAATCTCTAACCTAAGGCCTTTTCTTTGTAATGACTGAGGGGAAGTTTGAACAGGGACCTTTCTTCCATTTGTGCAGTTTCATGGTTGATTCAGAAGTTAGCTGCTCTGAATTCAATGGAATTTGCTCCCAAATCAGTATGAATTGGATTGCGGGCTCAATTTCTAACTGCTGTTATACACTCAAGCCACTTTTAGAAAATCGCCTCTGCTCATATGCCTTCAACAGCTTTCTCACTGGTAGAAATTAAGCAGGTAAAGATTTTGCTGTTGGAAGAAAAACAACTTTGTCTAACTTCAGTCTGTTAAGTCTTCCTGTGTATCTTTTGCTGGTAAATAAGTGAAGGCAAAGCACCACTGTCCTCCCCCTCTTATGCCAGTGCTTACCACAAATTTATTTTATTATTTATTAATTACATTTCTATTCCATTTTTCTCCAAGGAGCTCAAGGCAACATACGAGGTTCCCCCATTCCATTTTATCCTTTCAACAACCCCGTGAGGTAAGTTAGGCTAAGAGAGTGACTAGCCCAAGGTCACCCAGCAAGCTTAATCACTAACTGGATATTTCAGTGTGATTCTCATCAGTCTTAGTGATATCCTAACCCCTTCGCCAACTGGATGTGATGGTTGGTGATAGCTAGGAAATCTGGAAGACGGTGAAAGAATGACAATTAAATCTTAGTGTAAATTAAACAGATGGAAACAACACACATGAGAGAATTACTTGTACCTGATCCTAACTGCTTTGTTCAGAACTAAGGCTGCAGCCCTAAGTCCCATTGCACTCATTAGGACTTTCTTCTGAGTTTCTTCTGTTTTCTGTCCAGCTTCTCTGACTCATGCAAGACTGGCAGGGCTCTGAATTTGGTGGTTCTTTTGCTTTCTCCACCCCCCTTTTCTCCATTTTTCTATTAAATTGACCTCACATTAGAACCATGCTGGAATAATGCATTGGCTTATTTCCAAGTAATCAGGAAGGGCACAGATTTGTAGGGCTGGAACCCAGTCTTTAGAGTTTTAGTTTATTGATTCATCTAATTTTAAATTTGTAGGTGTGTGAATTTATTTCTGAACTAGTAAGCATACTTGCTTTGATTTTAAATGCTGCAGGCATTATAGCAAATAGCAGCTTTGTAAAGGCATTCGTCCTGTGTGAGAGAAAAGAGAATGCCAGTTTCACCACAGTAGTTGCCATTTGCAGTTTTTATAACCACATGTATTAAGAAAAAGTTTTTTTAATAAAAAAATCTGCCCAATGAATTGGGGGCACCTATTTAATCAGTTAAGGTTTTAAAAAAATGAGTTAAATTACCCAATCAGTTGATTAAATATGACAGATAATTGTTTATTACTTTACTTGTTTTTTAAACATTTTTTCAAGTTTTTTCCCAACTGCCTTGTGTGTGTCTCTGCATCCCTTCTGGCATGACCCTTCAAGAAGCTAGATCCAGCTCAAGGGGCTGCTGGTGACTAGTCCCTAATCCTGTGGACTAAGTGGCTGGGGTTTGGGGTTGATTTTTGAAGGGAAAATTTGCAGTAAAGTAAATGGAGAAGTGGAGGAGCAGACAATCAGAAGGATGGAAGCTAGAGGAGAAGCCAAAGGCTGAGGTAGAGAAAATGTAGGGATGTGATCATTTCTTTGGCTGGTAACCTGGTTCCTTTGCCATAGGTGGTTATTTCTTATACTGGAAGGTGTTTATACCTGAGTGATTTACCATGCTTCTCCCCTGCTTCATTGGGATAGGAAGCTTTTTATCCATTTCAATCACCCTGTTGTTTGCATTGCCTTTGATAAACAGTTGTATTATATATTACATTTCTAATCTTTGTTAGAACTTTTGAAACTTTTTGTGCAAGAGACATAACTTTATATTTATACAGGGGTTGCCAACCTTTTTGGACCAGTGCACACGCAGTGCACAACTTTTGAAAGCGTTCTCTTGGTGCCAGTCACAAAATGGCTGCTGTGTAG